CAAAAAAATATATATTAAAAATAAAAAATAAAAGCAAAGCTAAGAATTCATCTCTCCTTTGATGAAATAATTACTAGTCCATTGAGCATTTAAAGATATGACATACATACATAAACTAACTTGAACACTTGTTGCAACTAATAAATTTGAAGAATAAGCAGTTGATAAAAAAAAGCATTTAGAGTAGAAATACCTGATGAAAAGTTTGCTTTGAAATAGGCAACAACTTTGCAAAATTTATAATCAGATAAGAAATTATAAAAGTAAAATGTGTGAGACTTTGCTAAAGTCAAAGATCCATCAAGTCATGTTATAATTTAACAATTACAAAAGGAAATTAACTTATTTATACTATAGCAAATGTAAATGTTACAATCATTATTTTTCTGGAACAATTATTATTTTGGTACTATTTCTTCTACAAAAAAACAACAATACCCACCTATACCCGTTCTGTTAACTGCCAATTACAAGCATCATCTAATATTTTCCTAGATCACTATACTAAAAATATTATTCGTACAATCTCAAAATTGCATTAATATTGGTCCTGCAAATCTATCAACAGTAGCCCTCCAATTTTCAAGAGCAAACTCAAATCCTGGAGTTATGGGTAAGGGTAAAATCTGGTAGGCTCCTGGACTGCAGTGATTTCACATATAGTTGTCTGTACCCTTTTAACCCAGACACCTGCATTAACCATATTTTTACCCTTCGGAAACACACATGTGTCAACGCCAGCTGTCAAAGAGTGGCTCCGCTCAATACTGAGTATGTGTAAAACCTGAGTGCCCAAATTTTTGTTTCAGGTTTAGTTGTTTTTTTTTTTTTTTTTTTTTACTTTAAAGGCAATGCATTCAATCTTTTTAAGAATCTAAACGTCTCTAGCGTGTAACACAAACTTAAATGTTAAAAAGTGCAAAGAAGAAAAGAAACATGCTGTTGAAAGAAATCCAATATTTACAGAATCGCTCCTTTCACTTATACTAGTAGTTTCCTAACAACACTTCCTTTTCACAATTTCCCAGCCCTTTCTCAGCAAATCAGTGTTTACCGCGGCCCCTCCCGCCCCAGATGTCAAAAGGATCCGCTGTCCACAAAGCCCCATAACGCAAGTGCACCCCACCCTCGGCGCCGTCGATGCTTGGAAAGACACTCGTGAAAGTGCCAAAGCCCTAAATGACATCCCCAAGGGCTCCGTTTCTTTTTTTAACTCCATTTCTCTTTTTCGGGCCCTTTGGGCCAGATGACTTCCCACCCAGAGATGTCCCCTCCCCTCCCAGTGGAACCTACATGCTTCCCCTAAGTCCCGGCCCTCCAGCTGGCCCGCCCGTCCCCGCCGGCTCCGTCTGTCTGTCCGGCCGGCCCCGCGGTCCTCGGCCCAGGTCCCCGCTGCTCCGCTCCCTCGCCCTCGCGGCCAGATCCCGGAGCATCTCTCCTCGGTCCCGAAGCCCGCGGGGCCCTCCCGTCCCCCTCAGCACCCCGCCTTCCCACCCTCAAGCCCTCGCCCCTCAAGGCTCCCTCTCCCTCCGGGTCCCGCTCCCTCCCGCCCCCTCAGCCTCTACGTGCCCCCCCCCCCTCCCCCGGCGCCTGGCCATCGTCAGGGGCCCCCCTCGGGCCCTCGGCTCACAACCTCCATTTCCCTCAGGTTCCATTCTAGAGCTGCTCCCCGGGCTCCTCAACCGTCTCCCGGGGCCCCTCCGGAGCCCTGTCCTCGGCAGCACCCCCGGGGGGCTTCGGCTCGGACACCCCGGCCGCCCTTGGCGGCAGGTGCCCCCACGCTCCCCGATCGCCAGCCCCCGCCGCCGCTCACCTCTGTGGTCTGAATCGGGCTGCCCCGACCCACCTCCGAGTCGGCGTCCGAGGCGCCGTCGGAGTCCGGGGCCCTCCGAGCCTCGCCGGAGTGGAGCGCCCCGAGCGGCGGCGGGGGCGGAGCCCGGGGAGGGGAGCCGGCGGGGAGGCGAGAGCGGTGGCGGCTGCGCGCAGGCATGGCTCTTGCCCGGGTCTCCGGAGCGGGCAACTGCTCTTAAACCAAACCGGAACTGCCCCGGGAGGCGGGGCCCCGCTGGCGGGAGGCGGGGCCCCGCTGGTGGGGGCGGGGCCAAGACCGGAAGAGGGGCGGGGCTCCAGAAGCCAGGGAGAACGTAGGCAAGGAAACCCAGGAGCGCATGCGTCAGGCCCAGAGCGAGAAGATAAGGCCTGAGGAGATGAGGCTGGTGAAGATGGGGAGGGGCCGAGAGGATTGGTGAATGGGGTTTGAGGACCAGGGGAAATTACCCTGATTCCTCTAGACTCTACAGAGCTCCTCCCCAAGAGCCAATTCCTGCTGATCCTTGTTACCATGTATTGCCCCTTTCCTCTCTGACAGTGCCTATGCCAAATGCCATTTAATATCTCACTGAATCCTTCTGCCAACTCTACACGGCCAAGAAACTTGTCTGAATTATGGCAGTTAATATGTGCCAAAGCCAGTATTCCTACTCAAATCTGCCTAGCTTTAGAACCCATGCTCTTCTCACTCCACTATACTGCCCCGCCCCGTGGGAACTCCCCACCCTATGCTTAGCACTGGCATCAATCAAGTCCAAAACCATCTGTGACCTGGGCTCTGGCCCCTCCTTGGCCTTGCTTTCCCAACCAGTGCAAGACAGGCTTCAGTGGCTCTGATGGACATGGGGACAGGTTCTGGGTTGGACAAGCTTACATGGGATGTCCTGGTGTGGACTTTACCCTCAAGCTGGCCTCAAGGCCAGGACAGCAGGAAGGCTTCCTACTGCCGCTGGTACTTCCCCTGCCCCATCAGGACCTTCATGAAGTCATCTGAGAGCCAGCAAGTCATCTCATCTCTTTTGCCAATACCTAGCTCTGGGAGAAGGACCCGTGTAGACCTTTCTCAGTTTCTCTTGTGGAGACAAAAAGCCCTTATAATTAGAGGACTTTCCCTCCCTACTCAAAAAATGTTTCTTATGACAGGCCCTTAGGCTCTTCAGAAAGTCTAGGGCAACATTCACTTCCTTTCTTTCTTCCCTTTGACATATGATACATGGCCCATTTCAGCATTCTCTTTTGAGAAATCAGCCATCTGCATGACAAAATCACTGTCCAAACCTTCACTCGTGAACCCTGTGGTACCCTTCAAATGAGGTCTTCCATGCCTACTCTCCACAGTTCTCTGACTCTACAAGTCAGGAAACTTCTTCTGAGCCCTAGACTCTGGAGACTCATGCAACAGCCATGCAGTTCTGACTCAGACTGCAGAGCTTTTTCTGTCATTGATCTGTCATCTCCTTTCCACCCTGCATCTCTACTTTAACCCAGTCCTCAGAACAGAATAGCCTTTTCGGGCTTCTTAACATGTCCAAAAATGTTTCTTATATGTTATATTAATGTTAGAAACATATAATATTTTCTTATATGTTAGAAACAGAACATCCTTTGTTTCACTAAATCTTCACAATTCTTTTTTTAATCCTCGCCCAAGGATAGTTTTCCATTGATCTTTAGAGAAAGAGTGGAAGAGAGAAGGAAATACAGAGAGAAACATCGATGTGAGAGAAATAGATTGGTTGCCTCATGCAGGAGCCCTGACCAGGGCCCAGGCTGGGGAGGAGCCTACAACTAAGGTACGTGCCCTTGTGCTCTTGACCAGAATTGAACCCTCGATCCTTCAGTTCGCAGGCCAACACTCTGTCCTCTGAGCCAAACCAGCTAGGGCAAATCTCCCCGATACTCTGAGGTAGGTGCAATTACCCTTACGTTGCAGACGAAGAAACTGAGATAAAGTGGTTTGCAGAGTTATGTCCGATCCCATGTGGTCCATGGAGTTTGGGGCTGGAGGGGGGGGGATGACTTGGGGAAGAAAATGTCCTGTTCCCTCAGGAGGCCCCGGTGACTTGCTGAGTCACTTCTTTCTGCCCCACCTGTCCCTGCCAATCTCCGACAGGAGAAGTGACACTGGAGAGGCCGGGAGGAGCGACTGCGGAGGCCGGGGAGTGGGTGGGCTGGCCCATGGCTGAGGCCTCGCTCCGAGACCCAGAAGCCACACCTTGCCCCAGTGTTGTGGAACTGGAGGAGCTCCTGAGGGCAGGGAAAATCTCTTCTTGCAACCGGGCGGACGAAGTTTGGCCCAACCTTTACATCGGAGATGCGTGAGTAATAGCTGGCTTGAGGGGCGCGGCGGGTGGGAGCAAGAACAGACAGCTCCTGGGCTCTTTACCAGAGAGAGGAGAGGGATGGGAGCACGAGGAAAAGCATTCTATAATATCTAGACCAGAGACTTTCTCCAGAAGTCCCGTGTGCTGGGGACAGTGCAGCGATCCAATGCGGCCACCAGGGGGAGTGGGGCCTTTGCCCGCCTGAAAGCGGGGAGCTCCCAGCAATCCCTGGAGCCTGCTGACATATCCAGGAAAATTGGGGCATCTCGGGGGCAGAGGCCTGGGGAATGGTGACGTGGATTGGCCAGAGAGCTTCCCTTCCTGGTCTCAGCCCCTCTCCTCGGGTCACAGAGGGTGAGGAAGCCTGACTCACGGTGAATCAGGAAAGTTGTCACCCCTAGACATTTGCAGAATAGAAGCAGGTATGAGGCAGAGGCCAGTGGAGGCTGGAAGCATGTGGGAAGGCCTGGGGCAGGAAGGGCGGGGAGCTCGGTCTCAGGGGTGAGGCAATCCTTTTTCCTTCTGTCCCAGCCAGCAGGGGCGCAGACCTCAGGAAGCAAAGAGGGGCAAAAGATAACTCCCCGTCCCACCACAAGCGCTGAGGGTGGCCCTGTGAGCTGTGGATCCAGCTCTAGCTTGCTGGGTCCCTTCCCCCTTCCTTTGGACCCTAATGGCTCCATCCCTCTGAAGTAGGCAGGGGGCCTAACAGAACCTCCCTCCTGGATCCCATGGCTCAGCCAGCATCCAGCCCCCTCCCTCCGCCCCCAGGGCCACAGCAAATAACCGCTTTGAGCTCTGGAAGCTGGGCATCACCCACGTGCTGAACGCCGCCCACGGAGGCCTCTACTGCCAGGGCGGCCCTGACTTCTACGGCAGCAGCGTGAGCTACCTGGGGGTGCCGGCCCACGACCTCCCCGAGTTCGACATCAGTGCCTACTTCTCCTCCGCAGCCGACTTCATTCACCGCGGCCTCAGCACTCCTGGGGGTAGGCCTTGGGGCCTGATCTCAGGTCCATCCTGTCCCGTCATGGGGGTTAGGGGGGGGATGTCTCGTTTCCCTTCACACATCAGTGCCCTCCCATCCCTAGTTTTTATTTAAAACGATTTTTCCCCCCTAAACTGTGAGAGAAAGTTTGTCTAGAAAGTCACAGAGGTGGACGTGAGCCACCGAAGAAAGGGGCCCGGGAAGCAAGCCTCAGGGCCAGGGAAGGGCCCTGGGAGCCCAGGAGAAGGAGGGAGCGAGGAAAAGGCACCCGGAGGAAAGCGGGGAGGCAGCGCTGGGCTCTGCACAGAGGGAGTCGCCCTGGTCCTCCCCAAGGCCTACGAGGAGGACCCCAACCATCCCTAGTTTTTTGTGTGTTTTTTGTTGTGTGTGTGTGTGTGTTTTGTGTGTGTTTTAATATATTTTATTGATTTTTTTACAGAGAGGAAGGGAGAGGGATAGAGAGCTAGAAACATCGATGAGAGAGAAACATCAACCAGCTGCCTCCTGCACACCCCCCACTGGGGATGTGCCCACAACCAAGACACATGCCTTTGACCAGAATCGAACCCAGGATCTTTCAGTCCGCAGGCCGACAATCTATTCGCTGAGCCAAACTGGTATCTGCCCTTATCACAGCACTTTTTAATGCTCAAAACACCCGGACATTCCTTGGTTCTCCAGCCATTCCCTTGCCAGCTGTTTACTGTCTCTCTGTGCCAGGCACTGAGCTAGGTGCTGGGAATTCACCCTTAGGCCAGGCAGGCTGTCTGCCCTCACGGGACTTGTCGTTACGTCTGCTGGGAAGACGGTCAACGCGTAAAGCAGTACGAGTGCTGCGCTCGGGAGTGGGGAAACGTGAGGAGCTGAGGGAGCACAGGCAGGGAGCTCAGGGCCGAGGACGGGGGGCAGGGTGACTTCCCGCGGCAGCGGTATTCCCCGGGCCACGTGCAGAAAGGATGAGCTGCTCCATGATTCAGGCGCCACCATGAGAGGCCAGGAAAGCCTATGCAAAGAAGCTGAGCCTGGCAGGTGAGCAGTAGACGTGAGTCAGCCCGGGAGCAGGGGAAGGATTTGCAAGGCGTTGGGATAGCACGCGCTGAGGCTGGAGGCCAGAGGCCATGACAGCATCCAGGAGCTGAAAGTGACACTGCAACAACCTCTGGAGCTGATGGCCGGGGTGGGGCAGCCTGAGCTGGGGTCAGCTGGGGCCAGGTCATGGCGGGTCTCATACGCCATGCTGAGGGCTTTGGGGCCCAGCCCAAGGGGTCCGCTTTGCCCGTCTCCCCACCAAACAGAATGACAAGTACCATGAGGCTAAATAGGAGTTGGTCTACGCATTTGGCAGATCATGACACGGAGGTCCCTACCTGTGGAATGCCTTTGCCAGGGCTTGGCGCAGCGTACACCCAAGGCAGAGCGGGGAGAGGAACGTGGGCCCCCACCCCAGCCCCGGGTGGGCCTGCTAGCGGGAAAGGGTCTTCTCTCACCCGGATGTCTCCCGCAGCCAAGGTCCTGGTGCACTGCGTGGTCGGCGTGAGCCGCTCCGCCACCCTGGTCCTGGCCTACCTCATGCTGCGCCAGCAGCTGTCCCTGCGCCAGGCGGTGATCGCCGTGCGGCAGCACCGATGGGTCTTCCCCAACCGGGGCTTCCTGCACCAGCTCTGCCAGCTGGACCAGAAGCTGCGGGGCGCAGGCCGGAGCTGAGGGGCCAGGTGAGGGCCGGGCAGGGTGAGGGAACAAGGGGGGCGAGGCCGGCTGCAGTTAGATGTGAGAGGCCAGCTGAGAGCTGGGCAGGGAACAGGAAGAGGGAGGCTGGTGAGGGCTGGAAGTGAAGGGTCAGGTGCAGGTGGCTGGGGGAATGGGACGGGACAGTTGAGAGGTAATTGTTAGGGCTGACTGGCTGGAACTGAAGGTTGAAGGGGGCTTGGCCCACTCTCCAACCTGCTGGGCCCCTCACCAACCCAAGGCCCAGCGAAGAGAGGCCCCTCTCTCCCAGCCTACCCAGGTTCTTCAGACCCCAGAGAGGATGGAAAGAAAGGGCTGAAAAGCTTACAATAGAAGAGGTGAGGCCTTCCTACCTGATCTTGATGCTGACCTGCCCCACCTCCTTGGCCAAAAGCCTGTGGGGGCTCCTTAACCCCTCTCCCCCAACCCATGGGCAGCAGCCCAACTAGTCCTGGAACCATGGACTGTCTGAACCTTCCCACAGCTTCAGCTCGGGGAGAAAGTGCGGCTGCAGCTGTTGCTTAAGTTCAGTTAATGCTCACCTCAGCCCAGCCTCACCATCCCCACGTGAGGAAAGAAAACAGGTGCTGCCACCAGCCATGACCCCTCAAACAGCCCTGCTGATGGGAAGCTCTCCTGTCACCATGCCAATCCATTCTCTCCTTCCGCCCAGCACCCGATGCCCTACCTGCCCCCACCCCCGCCACTCAGTCTGATAGAAGGCTCTCCCTAACCTCCCTCCTCTCTGGTTCTGGGACCCCGTTAGGACATAAAGGTTTCACTGAAGTCTAAGACTCCTCCCTGCTTCCATTTCCCTGCCTCTTGTTCTGTGTTCAGCGCCTTTGGAGCAATAGCACAAGGGGGACAGGTCCCTGGCACCTGCTCTCTGCAAGCCCCTCCCCTCCTGCTGGAGGCCCGGGCCCCCAGCTGCCTAGTAGACGGACCTGGGCTACCCCAGCAGCACTCTGCTTCCATTTCTCTGGCATCAGCCCTGCCTTGTCCTCCAGCTCCCCGGGAGGAGGCACAGTGTCTCTTCCTGGGGTGGGACCAGGACAGGACTGTGGGGGAGCTGCAGAGTGCCCACTGCCCTTCTCCAACCACGCCCAGGCTGGGTCTGTTCCCAGCTGGTCCCAACAGCCCACCTTCCCAACATCACACCCCCCCCCCCCGAGTGCCATCAGCTGGGGGGTTAGGCCCCAGAGCTGCTGACCACTCCCTGAGCCTGCCTCTAGCTCCTGCTAGCCAGCTCCTTCCCTCAGCTCTCCTCACCCTTGACTTTGGCTGTGCCGCCCCACCCACTGGCTCACAGGGGCTGCTGGTAGGGATGGGGGGCTGGCCTAGGCTCTCCTGATGGTTGGAAGAGCAGCAGTTTTCTCCTCCTGCTAAGAGCACGGCCTGAATCTTCCCCCAGCTCCACTCAGCAGAGCTGTCTTGGTCTTTGAATGCATAGCTGGCTCAAGCAAGTGGGGGGCAGGGCGTTCACATTAGCGATTTGACCCCTTCACACATGCTGTCAGGAGGGTGAGCATCTTGGGAATGGGGATTAGGGCAGGACAGAGGGCTAGGCTTGGAATCTGGGGGGTGAGTGTAATGGGAGGAAAGGAGGGTCATAGCTGGAGTTGGGCGCAGGCCTGGGGCCAAGCTGAGCGGGAAGCTTAGTGGGGAGCTCTGTGGGCACGGGGCACGGGGAGCCAAGAGGAGGGCCGGAATGCACGCTCACGCCTGCTCTTTCCTCTAAGCAGGCTTCCAGAGCCTGGGAGAGCGGCAGCTCTCTGATCAGGCCCAGTCACCCCACTTCCTAGGCCTGAGGCTCTCACATACCCTCACCCTAACCCTCAGCATTTTCCCACCAGGCAGCTGGCTTTGGGGGAGCCACCTGAGCTACAGCATTGCACAGTTCCTGGGGGTGCATCCCCCCAATAGTCTGTGCACCTGGAGCCCCGGGGTGTTGTGCAGTGGGCAGCCTGTGCAGCCCTACACCGCGGCCCTGGAGCCGGGCACTCTGCAAAATGAGGGGCCCAAACCCTGTGAGCCCCGGGTCCCAAACCCACCTCCTCATCTCTCCCAGCACCGGTGCCCTCTTGACCTTACCCAGAGGGTTCGAAGCAGAAGCAGGTGTAGGTGGCAGCTCCTATCCTGAGCCAATGATGGGGGCCCAGGCAACCTGGCCTTGGCTCACCTGCTGTAACATGAGCTCATTCTCCCGCAGAGCTGGTCCCTGCTCCCTGCCACGGGGCTCTGCCACTCTGCCACCCTGGCACTGGCCCTGCTGGCGCTGCTGGGGGCTCTGGCCCCGGGGGACGCCCAGAAGATGGTAAGAGCCCAGTGTGGGGTCCGGCCTACCGCCTGCTACTCCTTCCGCCTCCTTCGGCTGCCCGCACTTTCTCTCAGCCGCTGTCTTCAGTCCCCACAGGTGGGCATGGGCCCTGAGGGGTGGGGTGGGCGGGGTATGGGAGGAGATCGGAGGAGATCGCAATTGTGCGGGATAGCCCTTGTCCACAGCCGCCTCCACCAGCTCCCCTGGGCTCAGGGAGCCCTGGCAGGGGCTGGGCCTCATTCCCTGGAGCCCAGACTTCAGAGATCCTGTAGGTGTGGCTGTGGGGGTGCACAGGTATGCGTGAAAGGTACCTGAGAGTGAGTGAGAGAGCACCGAGGTCTAGGTATATGAGGAGGGTCTCTGGAGAGCAGGGAGGGTTCTTTTCTTAAAATATATTTTATTGATTTTTTACAGAGAGGAAGAGAGAGGGATAGAAAGTTAGAAACATCGATGGGAATCACCGACCAGCTGCCTCTTGCACACTCCCTACTGGGGATGTGCCTGCAACCAAGATACGTACATGCCCTTGACTGGAATCAAACCTAGGACCTTTCAGTACGCAGGCCGATGCTCTCCAGGGGTCCTCAAACTTTTTAAAGTGGGGGCCAGATCACGGTCCCTCAGAGAGCTGGAGGGCCGGACTATATGAACTACTAATTCCTACTGTAACACCTCAGCTGCGCTCACTGCCCAAAAAACCTGGCGGGCCGGATCAGACTCCTCTGCGGGCCGCATGTGGCCCGCGGGCCGTAGTTTGAAGACGCCTGGGAGCCAAACCGGTTTCGGCGGTGCAGGGTTTTTAATAGGCCCAAATCCAAGGTCTCAAGCTGATCACAGTTAACCTTCGGAGGGGCCTTAAGGACCATCTCCCTGGCCACACGGAAGTGAGGCCTGGCTCAGAATGCCTCTGGGGAAAGAGGAACTCGGCGGAGGGCAGAGCGGCTTCTGACAGCTGGACAGGGCGTCGGAAGACCTGCTCTGAACCCCACTGACCCCTTTGTCTATCTGTCTTCCCACTTCCCTCAGCCCGAGTCTTCTAGATCTTATTGTAATCCTCAGCCCTCAACTAAAGGCCCTGGGCCTGGGTTTGAAGTTGGCGGTCCCGCTGGTCTGTGTATGATTTGGGCCGCTCTCTTCCCCATCCTCCTCCATGGAGGATCCTTCCAGCTTCAACTTTCTGCCCATGTTCCCCCCCCCCCCCCCACCCCCCCCCCCCCCCCCCCCCCTCAAAAGCCAAGGGAGCTTTTGAAAGGGCTTATTTGATCTTCCTTCTCCCTGCCCACAGTCAGCATCCACACCCAGTCATGCTGCAGGCATACCCCGTGGCTGCCTCTGCTGAGCGGGGCCAGGTGCTGGCTGGGTGTGGCACTGACCACGCCATGGGACCGGTGGGGGCGTGGGGAGTGGCAGGAGAGGCCAGCGAGGGAGAGCAGCACATCATGCTTTATAATTAAACTCCAATCCAAAATAGAAACAGCAGCGAGTGCGCGGAGACAAGCGGCTGGGAGTCAGCAGCACAACGTGCCTGTCAGAAAAGACCAAGACCGGAGCCCGGGCCACATCCCCCCGCAGGTGGGTGAGTGCCCCTATTGCAGGGGGGGCACAGAGCTTGCTGGGGAGTGAGGGCCAGGGCACCCGGGCCTGCCTGTATTGTGGTGGGGGTAGGAGGGACCGGGTTAGATTGGGGGATGGACTGGTCAGATAGAGGCACAGACAAAGCATAGCAGAGCCAGAAAGACCTGAGCTTGAATCCTGGCTCCCATGCCATGGGCTGTGTGGCCCTGGGTATATTGCTGAATCTCTCTGAGTCTCAGTTTCCTCCCCTGTAACATGGGGATCATGATATCACCTGCCTCATCCGGCTCCTGTGTGGACTCAAGGAGAAAATGCACACACTTAGCTCTGGCTGGTACACAGTACATCCTCAGTGAGAGGCGAACAGAACAATAATCACGGCCAGACAGAGAAAGAGACATCAGGAAACACAGAGGTAAAGACCACGCCTCACTGTCCTCTGCCATGGCTCAGGCTTGAATAGGTAACAGTAATAATAGTGGTGATAACGGCAGTCAGGTGTCCCATGTATTGGACATCTACCTTGAAGCAGAGCCTGTGGGAAGTGCCTTCCATTTATCACCCCATGGGGGTCACTGGCTCAGAGACGTGCGCACAGGTGCGAGCACCGGGCCTGGGAACTCGGCCCAGGTCTGCCCTCCTCCAAGGTCTGCTCGCTGGGTACCAACCCGCCGGCAACTCACCACTGGCAGCCCACGAACACCTCTCTTAGGCTTCCTTCGCCAGACTCCTCAGAGAGAGATCTCCCACCCCACCTGTCCCGCCCGACCTGTCCCACGGCCACGTCCCACCTGGTCTGCCTGCGAGGAGGAGGGCAGAGAGAGTGAGCAGCAGGGAAGAGCGGGGGGCTAGCTCCTGGGGCTGTGTGAGGGGTGGGTGGCAAATGGCTGCCGCCCTGAGACAGCCTGGCCCGGCCCGAGGCCACCGCCAGGCAGGGCTGTGGAGCAGCCCAGCTCCTGGGGAGGGTGGGAGACAGAGGCCGTTGGAAAGCAACGCAGGAAGGAGGAGAGATGCAAAGGCAGAAGTGTGTGAACTTGTAATCAGCAGTGACACAAGAGCAGGCAGAGCTGGTACCTACAGAGGCATCGGTTAGCTTAGGGCAGTGGTCAGCAAACTGTGGCTCTTTGACCCCTTGAGTGTGGCTCCTCCACAAAATACCATGGCCTGGGGGAGTCTATTTTGAAGAAGTGGCGTTAGAAGAAGTTTAAGTTTAAAACACGTGGCTCTCAAAAGAAATTTCAATCATTGTACTGCTGATATTAGGCTCTGTGGACTGATGAGTTTGCCGGCCACTGGTTTAGGGGGAGATGCAGGAAGGAGGCCCGAGTGCATGGGGAGAGCAGCCACGCCGGCCTGTCCCTGACGGAGCTGGGCCCTGCGTCACCCTCAGGGGGCCGAGGAGCTGTGAGAGGAAGTGTTGGGCAGTCCAGGTCTGGGGGTGGCAGAAACCGAGGGCGCTGCTGCAGCCACCACCTCCCTGTCCATGGTTGTGCCTGGAACGTGAAGAATGTGTCACGGGGCAAGGGGCTGCCCATGGTGAGCTGCCGGCGGGTTGGTACCCAGCGTGCAGACCTTGGAGGAGGGCAGACCTGGGCCGAGCTCCTAGGCCTGGTGCTTGCACCTGTGCGCAGGTCTCTGAGCCAGTGTCCTCCGTGGGGCTCTGTGAGGTGGTACAGGGAAGGCACTTCCCACAGGGGCTGGGCCTGCCTCCGCTGGCAAAGCGGGATGGGGTAGACAGGTGGGGATCCCTCCATGAGCATCAGGAGGGAGGGGCTAGATGGGGTCTGACAAGAAGTACCCTTAGTCCAAGGGAAAGGTGCCTAGCTCCCTGGGCCTAGGTCCCCTAGGAGGTTGAGGGGGGGCTGTGGCTGAGGAACCCCAGATCCTGGATCCCTCTGCTGTCTCCTCTCTGCTCCCTGAATCAAAGCCTGGCTGCCTACTCCCAGGCACAGCTGGGCTGCGAGGCACCCACTGGCCACTGGGGGGCAGCCTTACCCCATGCCAAGCTTAGAGGCCTGAGCCCCATCTGCCTTGCCTGGGGCTCAAGCACCAGCTGGCAGCTTCAGACCAGTGTGGCTTTTGGATAATTCTGGCTGCCCGGGGGTGTACCCCATCCTACCCCACTCTCCACCCTGTGGTTGCTGCACACCCAGCCACTCCTCTCTTTCTCAGGTCAGACCCCTACAGACACCTCGGTGGGCAGCACCAGGGCATTTAACGTGGGAAGAGAAATGCGGCCAAGACCGAAGCAAAGACTTGCTTGAGGCCAGACTCTCCTCCCTCCCTCTCCCAGGTTCTCCTCCCCCCACTTCAGGCAGCAGCTCCCCCTCTCCATGGGCAGTTCCAGGCCTAAGAGCCTTTAATCCCAAAGAGAGGCCCCGCATGGAGAAGGCTGGGGTTTGGAGGGACTGCACTCCCCCCTACAGGGGCCTAAGTCTGCTCTCAGTCCCCCTTCCCCCACCCCCCCCACCCCAAGAGGAGCCCTGGAATTCTAGCCGCTTCACAGCATTTGTGTTCTGGGCGGAACCCGCCCCAGCCCCATTCCGCTCATGTGCTTAGCCCTGTCCTTGCCCTCACTCCCCCACTCCCGGCCCTAGACCATGCCCTAGGTAGGTGGCAGGCCGCTCAGCATGCCCTGAGAGGTCACCGTGGGGGATGAGGGGGAAAGCGGGGTCTTCACTTCCGCCCTGCCCGCCGGCTGCCCGCTGGGTGAGCTTGGCCAAGCCAGTGGCCTCCTGGGTGCCCGTTTCTCTCTCTGGTCCTGGCACCGCCTGCCAGAGAGAAAAGATGTTTTTTCCAGTTTGTACCTTCCCTAGTTACTGGTTGAGAGGGCCGGGGGCAGTTAGCCAAGAGAGGCACTCCTTCCCGGGACGACACCAGACTCACGTTCTGGTGCCGCTGACCGCTCAGCTCAGCAGGGGCTCCGACTCCCAGAGCCAGCTGGTTCCTGAGACAGCTCACCCCACCTGGGTGAGGCCTGACCCGCAGCGCTGGCCCGAGCCATCGGGGTAAGGAGGAAAGTCCCGGGACTTACGGGCACACGCGTACCAGCAGCTCCCCGCAGAGTTGAGTGGGCTGGTGACCACTCTCTGGAGTCCCCAAAGGTTGAAACTGGAAGACTTGGGGACTGAGCTGCGGGGTCAGAGAACCGGACTGAACCCACAGCCTCGCTACACACCGGCCACAGGGTTGTGGGTGGCACTTAACATTTTCTCTCTGACCTTCAGCTCTCCCCCAGGTAAAATAGGGACCTACCCCTGAGAGGCCCTGGGCCCCTGAGGGGCATTAGCTCATTCAGGATGGAAATGCAACAGACGTCCTGCATAGCCAGGCCCCTCCCTCCAGGGATGGACTCTGCGCTCCAAGCTCCTGACATGGAGGTCAGCCCAGGAGGTGGGCTGAGATGAGCTGCCCAGGCCGCGGCCGGCCTACAAGCCCCAAGTGACCAGCGACATAAGGGGTCGGATCTGCACTGACTCATCACCACAAACAGGGAGCCCCAAGGGCCTGGGCCAACGTTTCCGACCTCCAGGGCCTCTGGGGAGAGTGGGAGAGAGGGCAACAAGAGGTGATGCCCTTGCTCCTGGGGAAACGGTCTGGGGCTGGGTCTCAGCCCAGCTGGGTCGGTTAGTAACCTCACACCAACCCGCTGAAGCCCTTCCCGCACCATCCCAGAGCCACTGGGCCTCTGGGTGAGCAGGACCCACCTTCTGGGGGCATGCCTCTAGCCAGCACGGTGTCCACCCTGTTCCAGGATGGATTCCCTGCAAAAGCAGGACCTCCGGAGACCCAAGATCCACGGAACAGTCTCTGTGTCCCCCTACCAGCCGCCCACGCTGTCCTCCCTGCAGCGCCTGCTGTGGGTCCGCCGGGCCACCATGCTGAGCCACATCGACGAGGTCTGGCCCAACCTCTTCCTGGGAGATGCGTAAGTCTCCACGTGGGAGAGGGGGAGTAGCAGGGGAGCCTCTTCCAGAGCCCTCCAGGGGCACAGGTGGTACCCATTGCCTCCCGTCATCCCTTTCCACAGGTTTCTTCCCTTTTATAGAAATTGCTTTTTGAATGGTGGAAGTAGAACACTCATTACTTGTGCCTCAGAAGTACCTTTTGAACCCTTCTCGCTCTAACTCTTCCCCTGTGGACAACCACTAAGTGTTGAAGTATTTCCTTGCTTTTCTTTACGCTTTTACCATACATATACCTAACCCTACAATTAGTTTACCCTGTTTCCCCAAAAATGAGACATTGTCTTGTATTAATTTTTGCTCCCAAAGATGCGCTTATTTTTATTTTCAGGGGTTGTCTTATTTTTCCATGAAGAAGAATACGGTGCACATTTATTGTTAAAGGAAATTTATTACCTGTATACGGTACAGTAGTACGTACATTTGTCAACATAAACCAGACAAACTGAGAATCCTACAGAATCAAGAATTTGTATTTATTGTATTTATATTAAATTGTATTTACTCAATGACAATCATGTCAACAACATCTTCTGGAACATCATCATAACAATCCAATTCCTGAATTTCCTGGTGAATTTCTTGTGACTCCATTTCTTTCAGAATCAGTGGACCAAAACTCTCATTTTTAGTCTGGGGGGGGCGCTTATTTTTGGGGGATGCCTTATATTTCACTCAGAAGGAAATCTGTAAGTAGGTCTTATTTTCAGAGGATGTCTTATTTTCGGGGAAACAGGGTAGTCTATCTTTTAAAGTTAGGTGAATGGAATCACATTGTGTATGTTTTGTGCGTGACACAATTTGTGCAAAATTGTAATATTCACCCATGTTATTTTTATTGCTGTAATAATATCTGATTGTACAAATACTACATAGTTGATCCGTTTTATTGTATAAAACACTTGAGTTGTTCCCACTTGTTGGCCATTATGAACAGTGATCCTAGAAACATTCCAGTGACACACACGAGTTACATAGGGTACATAGAGAGAGTAGAACTCCGTTTCGTTTTTTTCTTAAAATTTAAACATATGGATCAATATATGTAGATTTTAGAAATTTTTCTTAATATTTAGAGAATAGGGATATTGTTCACAGTATGGCAACTATGCTTCCTCCCTACAGATAACCAGTAATAAAATCCTTGTTGACTTTTAAAAAATGCACACATACACACATACACACACCCACACACACATGCATACATGCTTTTCCACATTTCTTTTTTATTTTTACAGAAAATGGTATCACTTTATAATCCTGTTTTGTCATCTGCTTTATACAGAAAGCTTTTTTAATGAAATCATGTTACATATTTTTAAAACCTTCTTAAACTACATTCTGTTTTGTATTGTGCATTTTCCATAGGTTCTCAATATAGCATGAACACTTTCTTTTTTTAATTACATTTATTGGGGTGGCATTGGTTAATGAACCCCCTCCTTGTTCACCTATTTCAGTGGTGGCATAGTATGTCATTTACCTTACACACTCAGTCACCTATTCGAGGATATTTAGTGCTTCCCCCCAGATTCTTCCTTTAATTAAGTCCCTAGAAGGAGACTTGCTGGACAAAGCATGTGAACATTTAAAAAATGTCTATTTTTTTTTATTGATTTCAGAGAAGAAGGGAGATGAAGAGAGAGATAGAAATGTCAATGATGAGAGAGAATCATTGACTGGCTGCCTCCTACACACCCCACACTGGGGACAGAGCCTACAACCCAGACATGTGCCCTGACCAGGAATCGAACCGTGACCTCCAGGTTCATAGGTCAATGCTCAACCACTGAGCCACTGAGCCACATTGACCATCTTTTGATGCCTGAGGCAAAAATGCTCTCCAGATAAGTTGGCCCGAGTGAAGGGAGTCTTGAACTCTAACTAGAGGAAACCCTTCACCCGGGACCAGTTCACTGTTCCCGCCTCTCCCCTTGATGGCAGTGGCAGAGGAGGGAGACCTGCCCCACCTCCCAATCCCAGCCTCCCTTGCACTCTCCCTCCAGGTACGCAGCCCGGGACAAGAGCAAGCTGGCCCAGCTGGGCATCACCCATATTGTGAATGTTGCCGCGGGCAAGTTTCAAGTGGACACAGGTGCCAAGTTCTATCACGGAATGCCCTTGGAGTACTATGGCATCGAGGCTGACGACAACCCCTTCTTTGACCTCAGTGTCTACTTCCTGCCTGTCGCCCGATACATCCGAACTGCCCTCAGTGTTCCCCAAGGTGGGCTCCGGGGAAGGAGGAGGCGAGGAGGAGGTGTGGTGGGTGAGAGCCAGGGCTGTCCATTTCCCAGCAGCGCTGATAGGAGTGTGTCCTGAGCCCACAGACCTCTCCAGCACCCACCACCCATAGTGCAAATAGCTTCTGCCATTTATTTATTTATTTTAGATATATTTTATTGATTTTTACAGAGAGGAAGGCAGAGGGATAGAGAGCCAGAAACATCGATGAGAGAGAAACATCGATCAGCTGCCTCTTGCACACCCCCAACTAGGGATGTGCCTGCAACCAAGATACATGCCCTTGACCGGACTCAAACCTGGGACCCTTCAGTTTGCAGGCCGATGCTCTATCCACTGAGCCAAACCGGTTAGGGCGCTACTACCATTTAGTGAGCATACCTTTCAGAGACTCCCTGGCAACCACCAATCACAGACAGAACGAAGGACCGGTGTGGTCATCAGTATAACCCTATCCCTCCGTGTGAGAGCAGCTGTGGGTAGCAGGCCCAGGACCTAGCAAAGGCTTTGAGCAGACCCTTCTACAGCAAAGCCTTGGCATCGGGCTGCAGGGACAGGGGAGAGGGCAGAACTGGGGGGAAAGAGAGACACAAACCCAGAGGACCCTAACAGTCCCCTCCTCCCCCACTCCCCACCAACTCACCAGGGTTTCAAGGATGCCGCAGGAAGAACCAGGAAAAGGGAATCCCAGCTGCTAACCTTACTCCTCCGCTAACTTCTTGTGTGACCTTGAGCCAGTTGCTTTCCCTCTCTGGGCCTCCTTTGCACAGTGTCCACAGTGTCAGCATTCTTGGGTACTGTGGGCTGCAGGCTGGCCAGGTAACTGACGCGAGGCCGGGTCTCCCTGCAGGCCGCGTGCTGGTCCACTGCGCCATGGGGGTGAGCCGCTCGGCCACTGTCGTCCTGGCCTTCCTCATGATCTACGAGAACATGACGCTGGTGAAGGCCATCCAGACGGTGCAGACCCACCGCGACATCTGCCCCAACTCGGGCTTCCTCCGGCAGCTCCAGGTGCTGGACAACCGACTGGGGCGGGAGACGGGGCGGCACTGACCTGGTGGACAGCCAGGAGCCCTGGCCCTCTGGTTAGCGTGGCCCCACCCACCAGCCTGGCCCTGGGGACAGCAGCCTCTGCTGTTTCCTGGGACCTTGAGATGAACTTAGCATGTGGGGCTTCGCTGAGGCAGAGGCAGGGAGAGCTGGTTGGTTCCCTTGTAGCAGGTGGATTTCCCTGACCCAATCCAGAGATTCTTTATGCAAAAGAGTTCAGTCTGTCTCTATAATAAAAGGTTCATCATAATCAAGAGACCTTCTGGTGGTTTGTGGGGGGGGAGAGGGGATGGCCACGATATCCCAGAAGGCTCGGCGGCTCGGATGCAGTGTGATGGCGGCCTGGAGGCGGGGTCTGAGTCCCTGTCAAGTCTTCGTGGAAAAGGAGGCCAGGGGAGGATCCATTAGTGGTACCGGCCTTGGGAGCAAGAGGAAGGAGTGGAGTACCAGCGCGGAGAATTAGCTGACCTTCTTCATGTTGTCCTCCTCCTGCCATCACCAAGAGCTGGATTGCCTGAGTAAAGACCAAAGTTCGATGCATCACTGTCTTCTCTATGAGGCCCTGGCCAGTGTGGTTCAGTTTGTTGGCACATCGTCCTGTGCACTGGAAGGTCCTGGGTTCGATCCCCAGTCAGGTGCATGGGTGGGGGCAGCTGAACAATGTGTCTCTCTTACTTCGATGTTTCTCTCTCTCTCTTCCTCTTTCTCTAAATATAAAAAATAAAAACAAACAAAATACCCTCTCCACGACTCACTGTGTGCAAAGAGCACCTCTTGAATCCCGTCCATCTTTTCATTTACAGTCAACTCTCAAACTCACACCACCTAGAAAACGGAGGGTTAAACAGGAGGACAGGGGCTGAGGAGGAGGTACCCACGACTCCTAGGTGAGGGTGGTTATATGACGGGGCAGGACATTTAGCTCCGAGTTCTCTGTACTTGAGCGCTAAGAAAACCACATTAAAGCCTGCAGTGTCCTCACCTGTAAGTGGAACAAGGTGTTATGAGGGTTATAATTGGTCTGCGATTCCTTCTCCCTCTCTGGTTGCCCCTGTTTAGCCCTTGCCTTCTCCAGCTGACTCCTAAAGGCCACCGTTTCTTAGGGTTCTGTCCTTGGCCTCTTCTCCCCCCTCAGTGTCCTTGCCCTCCTGGGCAGGGGGGACGGTCCTCTTGCTCCCACAGCCTCAGTTCACATCTCTGGACCGATGACTCCCAGATCCCAGTGGCCGACCCAGATCTCTCTTCTGAGCTCCAGCCTCTGTATCCCACCGGCCGCCTCCATGTAAATACTGCCCCTGAACTTCAAATGCAGCTGAACTTTCCATCACCTCTCCACCCGGACCACTTCTCCTCTTAGTCTGGCAGCCACTGTTACTCGTGTCAGTGATGGGTGTCACCTGGACTCCTGCCTCTCATCCAATCAGCCTATCGATGCCTCCTCCCAGATACAACTTGGATCTGCTCACTTCACTTCCTGTTTGCTGTGACTACTCTAGTTCAAGCCAAGCTCATCTCTCCCCTGGATTCTTATAACCACCTCTGCCTCCAGCCTGGGCCCCCCAGTCTCCGTGTGGCATGCCAACATCTGACCAACATAAAAACCTGACCACGTCACTCCTCTGCTCACAGACCCTGAAGTACAAAGACCTTGACGAAGCATAAAGATACTTCCTTATCTGAGAAGTTCTCAGACCTCCAGCCATATCTCTTGCAATGCTGTTCCCATACATACCACATCATTAAGAAACAGTAAATCTACTTGCAGTTTCCAGAATGCACCACACTCTCGGACCTCTGCTAACGTGCACCCGCTCCCAGTTGCATCCCTGAAGGCACCACTCTCCCCACTCTCCACTGCGGTCTCCTCGAGGCTTCAGCTTAGACATCTCTCCTGGGAAGCTCTCCTAGACCCCCGGCCTGAGGGAAGTGCTGCTCGCGGGCTACCACAGTGTCCTGCCACCTCTTAGGACACCTCCTATCACTCCGGATTATCGATATAATCGCCTGGGCCTTATCCTCCTCCAACTGCGGTCTCGGCCCGGCTTTCCCTGGGCTGCAGGTCCCTCCCCAGGGCTCCCCCTCTCTGGCTGTGCCCTGCCTTGGGTGCAGCTGTGTTTCCGTGGACCGGAAGCCACAGGATGGCGCCACTGCCACCCAGCATTCTCTGAAGACCCACGAGGCGGAGCCGATCCCAGCAGCTCTGGACTGGGCCTTCCTCCAGAGGGTACCTGCTCTCCTCCAAGCTCCACCTGTGCATCTCTCCTCTTGGTTACCCTGACACTGTCTTCCCAGTTCTCCTTGTCCCCTCTGACTCCCCTCCCTTCTCCTCACCAAGGCTCTCCGGAGGCTTACGGGGCTTTCCCCTTCTCTGCCATCTGGTCTCTTTCCAGAAGCAAGTGCTTTTTCTTTGTACAAATCAGGTGGCCCCTCAGCCCAGACCAGGCTGAAGCACTCCTGGGCTTGGTCAAGGAAAAGATCTCTCTTCTAAGCAGACAGAGCTGCAAGTCCAGGTGCTCGACCGAGGGATTGGGCGCAGGCTGTGTTTCAGCTCCCCGTTCATTCCTTCTGCAATTTATAAGCTGTACAAACAGGCTGCCTGATCTGGGATGTAGGGATTGATATCCCCATTTTACAGATGAACAAACGGAGGCTCGGAGAAGAAGATGAAATGGGACTGAAATACTGCGTCCTGGATCTAGACCCTCTGGGCTCTGGCCTCAAAGGGCAGGTACTGCCCAGCCAGCTCCTCTGCTCTCCTCCCTGCAGAATTTGGTTGGCCCTAGTTCCAGCTGGCTGTCGGTGCTCTCTGGGCCTTTTCCAAAGCTGGAAGATGGCAGAAGGGCTGCCGCCGCTGTGCCTGACCAGGCAGAGTTCCTCTCCAACCTAGGGATTGAAAATAAATCTCAGTCCGTTCTCAGGTTGTTGAGGCCCATAATTACGCAGAGCAGACAAAGCTAGTCCCCGTTTGGCAGCCCAATCTGCTCACCCCAATTCTCTTAGATCCCTCCGGTGCCTGACAGCTCAGCCTTGTTGCTATTTCTTGCTCATGCACTGTCAGCGGGAACCAAAATAGCGGCTCTAAATTAACATCCGGGGCTATAAGCGTGGGCCACCTGCCTCTGCCGCCGAGGTGGGATGCCCAGAGGCTGAGGTAGAGCCACACCCTGGGGCTTGAGTGTCTCCAGGTCACCTTCTTGGGGCTCTGAGGGTTAGGCTTAGTCTAGGGCTCCAGGGGAAAGAGGGAGGGAAGCCCCGAGAAAGCAGGTGGTGAGAGAGCCAAACGGAAACAAGAGGTCGAACTCCTGACGGGTGTCTCCGCCAGGAAGCCTTCCTGCCTATTGCACTTGCCCCAGAAAGTCTGTGCTGAGGCGTCGACTTCCCCTCTTGTCTAGAGCAGCCCCATGAAAGGCATTGGGTATTGTCAGGAGCATGACTTGGGACAAATTACCTGGATTCAAATCCTACCTCTGCCCTCTGCCAGGTGTGTGACCTCAGTTAATCTCTCCACACACCTCTGTTTCCGCATCTGCAAAACGGGAGTAATAATAAGCAACATATAGGATTGTTGTAAGAATTAAGTGGGGAAGATGGAAAGTTCTTTGTATAATACAACATGTGGCAAAAACGAGAGCTGTGATTATTGCCATGGTACATAGTCCAGGGGCTCCTGGCATTGTCTGCTATGCAGCACACCAGTCTTGGACTAATCGTTGGCAGTGGGATGAATGGATGATTAAAAATTAGCTGACCTAAATGCAGCATGGTGTTCTGGATTGGATTCTGGAACAGAAAAAAGACATAAGTAGAAAAACTGGTGAAATCTGAAATAAATCTGTGGTTTAGCCAACAGCATTACACCAATTTTAATTTCTTTGATAACTATACTACGATTAAGCAAGAAGTTCACATTAGAGAGAGCTGGGTGATGGGTATACAAGAAATGTCCCCACTGATTTTAAAACTCTCTGTAACTGTAAACATATTTCAAAAATAAAACTTTAAAAGGCATTACTGACCATTTCTGACTGCTTTGCATATGCCAGGCATTATGCTAAGTGCTTTAGTTGCAATATTTCTTTTCTTTTCAGTTTCATCCACAATGCTTTATTTCTTTAGGAAAAAACACAAATCAGATACAGCAAAATGTTAAGATTTGGTCACACTGAGTTGTGGGAATATGTATTTTATCTTTTTTGTGTGTATTTCAAAATTATTTTCTAATTTAAAAAATAAAAACAAACTGACTGATTTTTTAAATTAGAAACATCTGGCCTGGCCGGTGTGGCTCAGTGGTGCAGAGAGGTTAGACCAGAGAGCAGTTAACTTCAACTGAGAATTTAGCAGGTACCAGTGCATATCAGGGTAGTTAACGGCTCTGACAAACAAAACTATTTCTCCCTCACAACACAGGTTGATGGGACGTGGGGGGAGTGATCATGAGGGGATATAAGAGATAAGATAGATCACTTCTCTTGCAGTTCCATGGCCTAGACTCAGGCCACGGTCACACCTAACTACGGGGAGGCTGGGAAATGTAGTGTAACCAGGGTGCCCAGGGAGAAGAGGAAACCGCAAACATGGGTGAGCATACGCAGGCTTTTTCACAGCACGTGTTGACATGAGACATAAATAATCATTTCATTCTCATAAGCCGTAAGAGGTAATACTACCATTAATATTTCCATCTTACAGATATGAACGAAAACCAAGGCTCACAGAATTGGTTTTTAAAATATATATATATATTTTATTGATTTTTTAGAGAGAGGGATAGAGAGTTAGAAACATCGATGAGAGAGAATCATCGATCAGCTGCCTCCTGCAACACACCCTACTGGGGATGTACCCACAATCAAGGTACATGCCCTTGACTGGAATCGAACCTGGGACCTTTTAGTCTGCAGGCTGATGCTCTATCCACTGAGCCAAACCGGTTTGGCTGGAGTTGTGTTTTTAAAAAAATATATTTTTATTGATTTCAGAGAGGAAGGGAGAGAGAGAGAGAGAGAGAGAGAGAGAGAGAGAGAGAGAGAGAGAGAGAGAGAGAGAAAGAATCCTTTATCATCTGCCTTCTGCACTGGGGATCGAGCCCACAACCCAGGTATGTGCCCTGACTGAGAACTGAACTGTGACGGAGGTTGATGCTCAACTCTGGCCAGGCAAATGTCTGTTCTTAAACACTGCCTGAGCCTCCATTCTGGGTTGACCTTGGTGACTTGCTTATCATTCAGTTTTGGACAAAAGTGGCAGGAACTT